GAACGTCGCTGTCTAATTTTTTAAAATACATTGATGTTACCATGTTAATACCAATGGGTCGTTTAAAATGACATATAATATTTGATTAAGCTGCACGAGTAATGAAAAGTGTTATTTTAACTTGAGCTACATACTATGACAATTTTAATTTTTTAGTTAGGCTTGGGTTTTGCATAATTACATAGGCCTGAGTACTAAAAACGCTTTCTGGGAAAAGCACAAAGAGTAAAAGCGCGTTTTTCTTTATCAAATGAAACAGGGTGACAGCTATTTTCAAATTAAGAGAAGAGCTGAGAATAGGCAGCTCTAAAATACTGGATGCCATAAGACCTGCCAAAATGGCAGAGCACCAAATGAATGTACAATGTTAATATTAGGCATAGTAATCGGCAGGTTCTTAATTACAAGGCTCTACCAAGTTAATTACATGTAATGCCGAAATTATTATTATTATTATTATTGTTAATTAATTATTATTACCTGTACGTTAAGGGGAACTTAGACAATGGAGGAATTAGAGAACAATTTAAAAAACGACGTTAAGGGGAAATAACACAAAATATACTCCCCTTGGGCTAGTTATTATTTATAGGCCTAGTAAATAGTAGATTCTTCATTACAAGCCTTAGGCCAAGGTAATTAATGCTGAAATTATTATTAATTATTATTATTATTTATACCTGTACCTTAAAGGGAACTTAGACAATGGAGGAATTAGAGAACAATTAAAAAAACGACGTTAAAGGGAAATAACACAAAAGATATTCCCCTTGGGCGATTATTATTTGGCCTAGTAGATAATACGTTATCTGTAGGTTCTTCATTACAAGGCTTAGGCCAAGGTAATTAATGCTGAAATGATTATTATTATTAAACATTAATTACATTAATATGATAGTTTGGACAAGTTCAATAACGCCGGAATGGTATATTATTTATTTAATAATATTTCTCTTATGCGCTCTATTTTTTATTTCATGCTTCAATTTTGTCCTGTTTTTCCCCCAAAAATTTCAATGTCAGTATGTTGGTGTCAGCCTATGACCCTAGGCCTAGTTTAAGGAGGGGCCTAGGATAAGATCTCATCCTGTTAGGCCTCTTTCTCTCTAGCCTTTGGTATTACTGTACCTATCTACACTTTATAACAGGAGGTACTAGCTGTTGTTGTTGTAGATAATATACTAACATTTAATAACATCCAAGAAGGTCACAGTTAGTTACACACGTACATCCCATAAGTCCGTGAGATTTCATAGGCCTACCGTAGGTAAACATAGAAAGAGCAATACTGTACAGTAATAGTAAAACTCGAGCGTCACGACATTGCGAAGTGTCTGATCTTCCTCCTCGTATCGTACTCACTCGAGTCAATCCGAGATGGCCCGAGTGAAGTTTCATGCAAATGTTTCGTACGGAAAAAAAAATCGCCTGCCGGTTGGCGACTACAGTGTAAGCGCTTGATGATCGACTCGCACGTGATGTAGATTGGATCCTCACGTGATGATGAGAAGCGGATGTTAACAACACAAACAACAGTATCTATCAGCGTAGCTTGCGAGCCCATGCCATGAGGTGATGATATAGCCGGCTATATGCGTTATTTACCGGTTCACCAGAAGTTGATGTATTTTTGCCATTACAGATATGGTAACGATCACTGCTTTTCCTCAGTCTGCTTTAGTTGATGAGAAAATATCTGTAAGAGTTGTAGGCCTACCCGCGAACTCCTCGATTACCGTGCGAGCCTCAGTGAGAAACTGCGGCAAAACATACGATTCATGTGCCCACTTTCAGACGGGATGCGCCGGACATCTTTCCCTCAACGAGCATCCGTCGCTCGGCGGAACATACTCAGGTTCGTGACCGTTTATTGCTAACAAACACTTTTTTAGGCAGTTATTTCTCATTAGACCTTTGTAATAGGCCCACTTACTAGGCCACTACTACTCTAGGGCCTAGTTTTCTCCCAATTTGTTTCCCGGGGGTGGGGAGTGAAATTGAGGACCACTCCAGATGGTGGTTTGGGATTTTGCACTACTTAAGGTCCTCCTCCGCATAGTCCTCTATCAAGGCCCTATGGCAAAACCGAATATTGTACTCTCCAATAATACAGTGGCGATTATATAGCCTGGCCTAGGACATCCACATTTTCTGGGTGGGGGGGGGGAACTCTCCGACAGGGGATTAAGCTAGTGTGCCTGCGGAGCGGGAGGGTTTAGGAATGGTTTTTTTTTTTTTTTAAATGGGGACCTCTGGATGGCCGGAAATGGCAATCTACAACTGTGAATATCATGTTTTGGCTTGGTGTAGGGCCTCATATTTAAAAATTTTGTTTTGGTCCGCTGCCTGACAAGCTGAGCCGGTGGAGGGGGGTGGCTTAAGCCCCCATGCCACCGCTAGTACCGCCACTGCTTCAAAACAGGCATATGCCCAGCATAATTCATTAGGTCTGAGGGGGAGGGTTGCGGTGTTCCCTGTTAAGGCCTAGACCCCAATATCTCTTCTGGAGGCTCTGAATTTTAAAAATAAATTTTTTATAACACCAAATCACAAAAGTAAAAAAAAAATGGAAACTAGAAAGTGGGACATTACGTCTTAAAACAGTGGGACATTACGTCTTTTAATTCCCAGGTGTTCAAGGTATGGGATTGTTTACCAGTATGCTTCCATCACCAAAAGAAAAGCGTGGTTCTCGACTCCTAAAGAAAGATGTCTCTACACCTTTAGTCAATGAGTTGACTGTCTACAATGGGTTTCTCACTGTCAATGAAATTTACAAATCATCACCAAAAGTACTAGCAAAGACTAATGTAGAACGATGGTACATTAGCAAAGATGTAGAGACAATACCTGTAAAGAGTGGTAAAATCCGAGGAATCGTGTTCAAACCTAAAGGTTGGTAATACCTTTTTGATCTCTTTATCAGCATTTTTCTGCTCAGTTCTGCCCTTTTTTTTGGTCAAATTTGTATGTTTTTTTTATGTTGTATTTACTGTTTTTCGGTAAGGTATTGTCTGTTTTTAATGGTTGTGGTTTTTGTGTAATGGTTCTTTTTTTTTGCAATTGTTGAATTTAATTTTTAATTGTATATAATATTAATTCAATTTGGTCTTGTGCAATTTTAATATTTAATCTTTTATACCGTGATTGTTGAGATTTTTGTATTTTGTATTTCTTATTGGTCTTGTGCAATGTCATTTTCAAATTTTTAAACTGTAATAAGAATACTTCAATTCAGCCAATGTTTGCTATTGTATTTTTAATTTTTGAGCAATAAAGATACCAAGAATATATATTGTCAGATTACTGGGTGAGTGTGAAGCCCCCAGGAAGCTATTTCATCCTTGGAAGTTTTAAATGATATGATTGTTGATATATATCTAGGTAGTGTAATTTAAGCTAAAATTCAACCACAACTAACTTTACATGAAATTTATGAATTTTTAGGTTTTTTTTATATTATTATTAACAGCAAATATCAAACAAACTTTTAGAGTGAGCCACAAAAAATATGTTTTTCAGCTTCACCTGTCTTTCAGCTTCTGTGAATTGACCAACTAGGTCTTACACAACCAAATCTTTTTATATTTGGGATATTTACTTTAGTGCCCCTCCCCTTTAAATAGGCCTGGAAAAAATATTTTTGTGCCACCGACCATGCAAATTGTGTTGATCAAATGCCTCAAGGACCAAATGTTATCTTTAAACTATTATAGCGAAAGAGTAACTAGTACATTTAGTGGTTTGGAGCAAGCAAATATAATAAATTTAATTATGCATTAAATTGTGATGTGTAAAAAAATTTCTAAAATGCCTCCGGGTTAAAGGTCACGGCCTCCTACCGGCAGTTGCGTGGTCGCGCACTTTTTCTAGCCCTATTCTTGAATCTCAGCCTCTGGTCATGGCTATGCTTAACATATGACATCACAAAATATAAATACCAATTATAGCTGGCAAAGTTAATGAAGCCTAAAACTTTTGTTTTTGGGGTTTTTTTTGCCCTCTAGGACTCAGACCATTTCCAGGAGTGATTGACTTGTTTGGTGGTGTTGGTGGCCTGACGACATTCCGTTCCTCTCTTCTCGCATCACATGGCTTTGCATCATTAGCCTTACCATATTTTGGATATAAAGATTTAACAGCATCCCTAGCTTCAGTTACTATGGATTACTTTGTGGTAAGTGGTATTACAGCATTAAGTAAAATATATGTTAAGATCGTTGTGGTTGTGTTTTTTTCAATTTTTGATGTTTATATCATTATTCTGTCTGGTATTTCTATATATTTTATTTTTGGTTTCTGTAAAACCAAAAATCAGCCATGTAGGAATATTAATGTATGTGTGTATGCATTCATAAATGAGAGTAGCTTTAGTTCATCAACTAAATGGTGGTAGCTACCTATGCACTGAACTATTTTGATTTTTACATAACCGTCCCCGGTTCAAATCCATTCCTGGGCATAATTCTCTACCCCTTGTAAGAAATTACCCACACCTGCCAGAAAACTCACCCTTGCAGAGTTGGTGTTCTTATTGTAGGAAATTATTTATACTTTGAGGTGATGTATAAAATAATAATTATACCCCTAATTTGACCAATTTGCCCTAACATAAAACCAACTCGTACCAAATCTTAGTCCAGGCTATGTTGGATTTTGAACCAAGTGTTTTTGTCTAAGTTGTATTATGGTGCAAATTTCAGTTGGGGTGAAGTATTCTGTACACCACATTTCTGCCTCTGAGAAAGTTTTATTATAACCAATTATATCTATGTTTACATCTAGGAAGCTGTTGATTGGCTCCTTGAGCAACCATACATACACAAGGATGGTATTGGTCTCATCGGTGTTTCCGTTGGAGCACAAATTGTACTTAAACTATCTACTATATGTGGG